CTTTCGATGAATCCGCATTGTCCCGGCTCCGGCAATAATTGTGTTTGGCGCGCTCTCTTAAATTCTCTAAGATGGTCATTTTTTTTAGCAATGTAGCCACCTCCTTTCGAAAATGTCGGCATTCCCTAGTTCTATGACCGTAAGTCCCACGATATTCACACCATAAACTGAGATCCCTTTGGTTATGATCCGATATGATTGGATTTGGGAACCGTGTTTCTTTGATATTTCTCATTGCCGACACCAATTCTATCAAGCTAATTTTAAAGTTGTTGTCTGATAACCTCGAATAAACGGAATCTCGATCCCTGGCACCTATTTCTCCTATAATGACCTATTGTTCCGACCGTGGTCTGTTCTTCTGTCGGGAGCAAACCGATACGATGACTGCAACCCTTTGCTGCTATGCCTATCGGTCCCCTCGTACGGTAGGAAACAACCCCTAGAGGACTGTCGATCTGCATCAAAGTTATTTTTAAACTTGTCATGATTTTTTGTCTTGACCCCATCCCTTGGTTGGCACCGAAGAGCCAAGTTGGTCATCCTCTATCCTTATCTTTGATTTGTAGCGGTTATGGACATCTACCTATGTGGTTGCCTGAAACTTGAGCAAACTCTCCTTCAATTTTTGGGAGGCATCGAAACTCAGTAGGTTTAGACCCTTCGTAATTGCCTCTGCTGCCCACTCATCCGGAACTGCTAGTACCAACATCCTTTCCTTCTGGAACTGGATCACAAATTCTCACAGTAGATCAGATTTGCCCTGCAAAATTCTGAATATGTCTGCCTTTCTGGCCTGAACCTTTCTTGCTCCAGCATAGGCCTTATGAACGAATCTGCAAGCATTTTAAAAGAATCAATTGAATGCTCGGGCAAGAAGGAGTACCATGTCAGGGCCCCTTTCGTGAGGGTTTAACCAAACCTTTTCAACAGAACCGACTCGATCTCATGTTGAGCTAAACCGTTTCCTTTCACTGCCATAGTGTAGGCTGTGATGTGCTCCTGTGGATCCGAAGTCCCATCGTACTTTGGTATGTCCGGTATCTTGAATCTCTTCGGAATTAACTTTGGTGCTGCAGTTGGCTTAAACGGCAACTGCGTGTACTCTTTTGAATATGGACCCTTTAACACTAGTAGTGCGTCCGGAATCTGATCCATCCGAGAGTGAAACTCCTTCACATTATGATCCATTGGCTCGTTCATTTCTCTCATGAGCTCGGTTTTGAAAGGTTCACTCCCGTTATTATTCCAAGATAAGCTACCGGTCCCTTCGGCTTCGTCAAAACCGACTTCATCCCGTGGGTGTTGTTATCGGTTCTCTGAGCAGTTTGATTTGCGGGAACACTATGAGGAATCGGACCCCTTCCATTCGAGTTATTGGAAGAACCTGACAACGCTTGTTTTAATTCCGTCATCACCCGATCCTGCCTTGAGAGGTAATCCAATATTGCTCTCTATTGTTCCCTCAGGAGTTTGACCGTCTTTATGATATATTCCTCCTCCGCATCATCAGGAGTTGGGTCCTGCACATGTCGAGGGTACTGACCTTAGCGAACCAGGGTTGTCTCGTCCCATTCATTGCAGATCTCGCTGATTGAGTCATCACGCTGGGACAATTCTTCCCGTTCAATGCGTACTTCAATGTTATGTATGTTGTTGACATCATTAGCTGCCATATATGATTTTTACTAAAGAAAGAACCAAAACTTGTTAGTAATAAATGAATGAATCAAAGCAATTACGCAGTTGTCTATGCTCCACGGTGGGCGCCAAACTGCTTACCTGTAAAATAGTACAGTCGAATTTGTAATGTGGTTTATAAACAAGCGAATCGATTTGATCAAAAAATGATAGAGAAATATAACAAGGAAAACAAGATTAACGACTGAAATTAAAGAAGATAACGAGCCTAGCTTCGAACTCGGTCTTTCCGAGGGCAGAGATGAAAGCAATGATAAAGTGATGGTAAAACTATTAGATTGAGTGTAGAATAATGAAATACGGTTTTGTGTTCCAAATATTTCATGTCTTACAAGAGTTGCCAACCTGATATTTATAACTATTCCTAGGGAGACAAGATCCTAAAATCAAACCCTTCTTGAATGAGAATAAAAATGTCATTGATGGGTGAATAACGACTGACTTTTAATGCAAATATTCTCTGTAACGATTGCTCATTAAATGCTATCCGATGTCAAGCATTTGAGTTTTTGCCATCGGTTGTGCTCCCTTCGAGATCCATCTTGTACCGGTTACGCACTTCGTAATCGTAATCGATGCCGATTATTCATCGATTCAACTTCTGTTTGTTATCAGTTTCACGTGTCACCTCGCTATTTAGCTATTTGTAATTAACCAATTTCGCTCCATACGATAATTATTTCCATTGGTTGGTGGTAATGCGGTGGGGGTGAGATGGAGATAGTAGCTTCAGATTCATTCGCTATAAGTTTATCTTTAAAGTAGTTAAAGCCTTAACAGATGTTGATGTGGTTTTTGGGATTACATTGGCCGTAGTACCTTGAGACATGGTTAGTGGTACAGGGAACTCGTGGATGGTGTAGGGAAGTCGGTGGTGGTAATTTCCTAGAGAGAAGTCAGACCTAATTATGAAACTTCATAAACCCTCTTGGATATCGTCCCTCAAGTTCCTCAAAAGGTCAGTGAAAAAATCTTGGTAAAATTTGTGTTTGAAATTAGAAAATCAGAGAAGCAAAGAAACATTAGTTTAATAAAAAATCATAAAATATTTCGAGCTCACAAGTTGTTTATATGTCCTTAAGAAATTTAATCTCTCACTGTTGCCTAAGATGTTGGATGAATTTCTTTCAGGATAGAACAGAATTACGATTCTGTGGTAGCGGTACTACAAATCACAGAACTTCAGTGAACTCAACAAACGCAGCAAATCACACTTGACACTTATATTTATTTGGAAAATAATGCAACAATATAGAAAAGATGAGAGAAGTTATCAGATTTTCCATGTATGAAAAATGAGGCTAAGCCTCTAAATTTATAAACAATGAAAGGATAAAAAGAAGAGGTGCAATTCAAAAGGTGGCTCTTTCATTTCTCATTCACGACATTCACAAAACCTAACAAAAAATTCATTTGGTTATGCAAATTTTTCTTGAAAACACCACCAGAAAAAATCTTTCTTTTGTAAGAGAACTTTTCTATTTTCTAAAATATTCAAAAAATTATACTAAAGATTCAAGCATCTTACCTAGTTCATAGATTTTTTACACAAATAGAAAAAACTAAATTTCACTAGTAAAAGAATAATCTTAGTTAGAAGAGAACATACCGTTATTTGAGCAAATATCTATTGGAGACACATACGGAATTATGTCACGGCAAGTGTTCATTTCGGCTGAAAAAGCCATTTGTAAAGATGGAAATTAGGATATCGCTATTAAAAAAGGCTGAAGAGAATTAAGATTTATAGCCTGTTTGGCCAAGTTTTTTTTTGGGCCAAAAATATTTTTTTGACCAAAAGTGCTTTTGGCCAAAAATTGAGGTGTTTGGCCAAGCTTTTAGAAGGAAAAAATGCTTTTGAGGAGAAGCAGAAGCAGATTTTGAAAAGCAGAAAAATGTAGCTTCTCTCCAAAAGTATTTTTCTGAGAAGTACTTTTGAGAAAAATACACTTAGAAGCAGTTTTCAAAAGTTTGGTCAAACACTAATTACTGCTCAAAAGTGTTTTTTAAATTAATTAGCCAAACACAAACCAATTCTCACCAAAAATACTTTTTTGAAAATCACTTCTTAAAATAAGCGGATTTTAGAAATTTGGCCAAACATGCTGTTAATCAGATAGAAACTCAAAGATGATTGATAAGCAATGGTTAGATGGCTAAAAAAATATAGAGATGCACGTATATATACACAAACACACTCAATTTGAGATATTCGATCATAGCCATAATATACACACGCGCACAACAAAACTGAGAAGAGAAAGTTTCGTTGAAGAAGGGTGACTCAATCTTCTTTCTCTTCAATGCGAAAAACAGTTTGCTTTAATTCAACTTGTTCTCTGTTTCAAGGCAACTTTTCTTGAGGGTGAATATAAGATGTACAGAAGGAAAGAGTGAACTACCAGTTTCATGCTTATTCTATAGGAAACCAAAATTGAAATCCATACTTGAAATGGACTCCGAAACAAATTGCAAAATTTCACTACTACAAGATGCAGCTAACACTAATGTACAGGGTGAATGATACTAATGGGATTTTAAGTTATATAAATTAACCGTGTAAAAAATTTAAAGACTGTAAGTGCAATTTAATTGATAATAAAAAGTTATTAATTTATTTTTCAAGTTATCATATGTAGTATTGAGTATGGCCTATGTAGGATTTTATAGAAGCAGTATCAATATGTTAAAAAATGAATAAATGAATAAATCACTANAAAAAAAATTGGCACCGCTTAGGGCAAGTATGTCCGTCCCTAGACAAAACAAAATCTCTACTAACCAGGGGCGGATCCACCCTATTATACGTGGGTTCCCGTGAACCCAGTAGCTTTTGTATATATTCTGTATATGTATTAAAAAATTAATTAAATATTCATAAATATTTGATTGTGAACCCAGTTACTTATTATATATTTACTTAAGGTCGATATAGAAACCCATAAACTTTAAATTATAGATCTACCTCTCCTGCTAACTATGTGAAAGGTCAAACATGAGATGTGCACCTGGAAGATAATCACTCACTTCAGATTCTTTAGTTTCCAGAACTACATGGGTTTTATTCACTCACATTAATCAAGACTCACTGATTTTCCTTTATATATTCTTTTTCCTTAGTCTCCTAATAATACTTGGACCAACAGTCAAAAGTGCTGGGCAAGAGATAAAAATGCGTGCTGTCACGTCGTTAGACAAATTAAAGAAAAGCACGTCCGGTTGTGGCTGCCCACTGTCGGTTGATCCTTCCTTTTATTCAATTGTTTAACTTAAAATAAGTCTCCTTTTGAATCCAACTCTTTCTTTTGGCACTCTTCTCTTTCTCGCTTCCTAACCCCAAAAATGACCCCCTACCAAGTGAACAAAATAAGTTATTTATTACCCCAATTCTCTTCCATATAACACTTGTTTAATCATTCATCAAAATCATTTTTCTCTTTCTAGCTATCTTTGACATTATTCAGATGAGAACATTGTGCCCCAACTTGGATAGAGAAGATGGGCTGGAAACAGTGCTGGAAGTCCCCATCCCAGAAGAAATGTTTGCTTCCAACAAGCACAGGGCACGGCAGAACAAGAATTCTGGGGTCAAATCTCACATGGACAAGTCTGCTGCTTCCGTTTTTGGTAGCCGAAATGCTGAGATTCAACTCTTGCTTGGCGTTGTTGGAGCTCCGTTGATCCCTCATCCTATCCGTTGCGACCACTCTCTCAACACAAAAATCAACGATCATCCCATAGTAAGTTGGAGTATTGTGGCAGCATGGTTTAAAAGCTTAAACCATTAAGGGGTCGTTGGTTACTGGTTAGAGTTATGCAACTATTAATAAAGTAGGGATTAGTTAAATATGATTTAGTTATGTAGGAATTAGTTATGCATGGTTTAATTTGGGATTTAGTTATACATGGTTTAATTATGAAGGAGATATGTTATGTAAAGACTAATAATGCATAGATTAGTAATTTATGGATTGTAATGTAGAGACAATTTTTTGTTCAATATTTACTTTATTTTAATTATACAATGTGTAATTTAAAATATATATGATATTTCTTTGGTCATTTTGATTGTTTAATTCATGTATTACTAATACATGTATTAGTTGTTCCATATTTTACCTTGCATAAATAATAGGAGTACATAGTTCAACGGTGTTGCCCAGGAAGTGGACGGGATGTGAGGCTTGATATGCAAGTCATTCTCGGGAGAGAGAGTTTTAAGTACCTTGGGTCTGTGATTCAGAGTGATGGGGAGATTGATGAGGATGTCACACATCGTATCGGATCAGGGTGGCTGAAGTAGAGGCTCGCGTCCGGTGTCTTGTGCGATAAGAATGTACCGTTGAGACTTAAAGGGAAGTTCTACAAAGTAGTGGTTAGACCGACTATGTTGTATGGGGCAGAGTGCTGGTCAGTTAAGAGCTCTCATGTCCAGTAGATGAAAGTAACGGAGATAAGGATGTTGAGATGAATGTGTGGGCACACGAGGTTAGATAGAATTAAGAATAAAGTTATTAGGGATAAGGTGGGAGTGACCCCTGTGGAGGAAAAGATGCGAGAGACGAGGCTGAGATGGTTCGGGCATGTTAAGCGGAGAAACACAGATGCCCCGGTCAAGACGTGTGAGAGGTTGGCCTTGGGGGTGAGAGGAAGGGTAGAGGTAGGCCGAAGAAGTCTTGAGGAGAGGTGATCAGGCGGGACATGGCGCATCTTGAGTTTACTGAGGACATGACCCTCGATAAGAGGGTGTAGAGGTTGAGAATTAGGGTAGAAGGTTTGTATGTAGTTGAGCGTTTCCCTTTGGCTTCCTTAGTTCAATAATATTAGTGTTAGTATGGTATCCCTTTCACCCTTAGTTTGCTATTTCCATATATCTTGTATTGTTAGTACTTTGCATCAGTATCCCTTTAGTTTGATATCACTATATATCTTGCACTGTTATTACTTGTGATAAGTACTTCTTTCATCTTCTCCTTTGCTATCTTGGATTTAGTTTTCTAAATATCATGTATTATTATTACTTGCTATAAGTGCTTCTTACATCCTTTCTTTAGCCGATAGTCTTTCGGTAACAGCCTCTCTGCCCTTCCAGGGTAGGGGTAAGACTGCGTACATCCTACCCTCTCCAGACCCTACTTGTGGGAATACATTGGGATATTGTTGTTGTATATAGATTTGTTGCTTAACTTATTCATGTATTACTTATACCCCTAATGGAAAAAGCAATCAAACATAACATTAGTTGGGTGACTTTTGTGCAAAGTAACTAAAGGCTACCAAATATGGTATTAGTTATATTACTCCTAATGCATGAATAATTTACCTTGTAATCAGCTACCAAACGACCCCTTAGAGAATACATTTTTTATTTAGTTAATTCAACATGCTCTCTCACAACTGGATTCTTTTTTATGGATGATTAGCAACAGGGAGATTAGAAAATAAGACCTCTTACCTGTCCGATATCATATTAGATTGTATGACCATATCACCTAAAAAGTTTAGTTAAGCAATTAGACAGAACACATTTTAATTTATTTAATTAATATATTTTTAACATGATCAGGAAGCTTCAGTGGCGAAATATATAGTACAACAGTACATAGCAGCAGCAGGGGGAGAACATGCTCTAAATTCCATTGATAGTATGTATGCAATGGGGAAAATAAAGATGGTGGCGTCTGAGTTTATTGCTGGAGATGGAATGGGATTGAACAACGGTAATGTGATGAAGATTAAGAGTGTGAAAAATGGGCCTGGTGAAATGGGAGGATTTGTGTTGTGGCAAAAGAGACCTGACCTGTGGAGCATAGAGCTGGTGGTTTCAGGGTGTAAAATTAGTGCTGGAAGTGATGGTAAAGTGGCTTGGAGGCAAACTCCATGGCATAATTCCCATGCATCTCGTGGTCCTGCCAGGCCTCTTCGTCGTTCCTTACAGGTACTTTAGCACAAATCAATGGGTTCGATTGAATTTAATACTTCCAATATGAAACCTGAAAATTTTAAGAGTATTAAGGTATATAGTGCTGCCAACAACTTTTTAATTGTTGAATCTATATATATCCTAAATTTATCAAAATAACTGGCCTTCTCTCACTCAATCCTTGAATAATGGTCAATTTTCCTTTTATTAGCCATGATCTAAAACAAGCTTATAACAAGTGAACGGACAGACAATTTCTCCACAAAACTCGAGCAACATGAAAATGTATCCTTTTTCTGAAGGGACAATAATTGCCAAATACGTCGGTTTTTTCTTTGCCACATGATGAGTGGGAAGCCTAAGATTCTTTGACTGTTCCAACTGACAACGATGCATGTTCTTTTACTTTGTGTGGGTCCTCATGTCTAATTAATCTATCTAACTGGAACTTGGGTTTTGGGAAGTGTGAAATCATAATCAAGAAGATCAATATTCTTTTTGACTTTAGTTTGGAGGTGGACGACCTACTTATAAAGATTATTTCCATGGTCATTGGCAGCTTTAGTTTTATCTTTTTACATTAATTTGGCTCAAATGTGGCCACACTCGTAAAAAGACTTTCATAACCTTATTCAGTTTTGCAATCTTTTCCCCAAATAATATTTCCTCCAAATCACATTAATAAATACAGTAACTTATCTCTATTCCCAAAATACATTAAGCAACTAAAATTGATATATGTTTTCATACATATGAAGATGAAAAGTCTCTATATACTTTGTGTATTTTATGTGTATAGAAATTATATTATATATTTAATAAAAATTAATTATATACTTGATTTAATAAAAAATATACGATCTACACATCAGCAAAATAAACCTTTCATTTTTTTATCCTTAAACTAAACATGAATTCAAACCAAGAAACTTGGTAGTACAAGAAACATTAGTTTGTTTAATTTAATATTTATTGCACCACACTCATTTTAATATAATACAAATAAAAACTAAAAATTATTTTAAAAGAAACTTTGACTCTATTGCTCATATCCAAAATATGAATTTTCTTATTATATATATATTTTAAAAAAATCTCATCTCAAATTCAAATAAGTCATATCCTTTTATTTTTTAAATTGGACCCAATTTTTAAAAAATCATCTTATGCGTTCAGACTTAAAGTAATCGTTCTCAATTAAGATATTAATCATAAAAAATTATTTTCTTATTTTTAAACACATTATATACAATATTGTAACAATGTTCCTACTATTATTTTTATTTCTCAATATAATATTTTTAAAATATTATTAAAAAAAAAGTGGAATGGAAGAAAACGGATCACATGGTTAGTGAATAGCCATTAAAATAAGAATCTTAATTTTTGAAAGCTTGCAAAAGGCAAAAGCTATTTACTATAAAAATAGGAGTCAATCATAATTAGTTTTCACCATAAATGAAATTTGATCAAAACTTATTTTCTTAATTCTTATTAGATTCGTCTAATTTTTCTTAGTCAATGGACTTATATGGTTGCTATGAATAACTAGTGGCCGATATGTATGAACTTAATGAATGAAATTATATATTGGCTATTATATAAACGGTCAATTCAATATAACAATGAATCGCGACGATATAATTAACATAAGTTATATGACTAAGACTAGTCAATGGACTTATATGGTTGCCATGAATAACTAGTGGCCGATACATATGACCTTAATGAATGAAATTATATATTGGTTATTATATAAACGGTCAATTCAATATAACTATGAATCGTAACGATGTAATTAATATAGGTTATATGACTACGACCTAAGTCAATGAACTTATATGGTTGCTATGAATAACTAGTGGCCGATATGTATGACCTTAATGAATGAAATTATATATTGTCTATTATATAAACGGCCAATATAACTATGAATCGCAACGATATAATTAACATAGGTTATATGACTATGACCTTAGTCAATGGACTTATATGGTTGCTATGAATAACTAGTGGCCTATACGTATGACCTTAATGAATGAAATTATATATTGGCTATTATATAAACGGTCAATTCAATATAACTATGAATCGCAACGATGTAATTAACATAAGTTATATGACTAAGACCTTAGTCAATGGACTTATATGGTTGCTATGAATAACTAGTGGCTGATACGTATGACCTTAATGAATGAAATTATATATTGACTATTATATAAATGGTCAATTCAATATAATTATGAATTGCAACGATGTAATTAACATAAGTTATATGACTACGACCTAAGTCAATGAACTTATATGGTTGCTATGAATAACTAGTGGCCAATACGTATGACCTTAATGAATGAAATTATATATTGACTATTATATAAACGACCAATATAACTATGAATCGCAATGATGTAATTAACATAGGTTATATGACTACAACCTTAGTCAATGGACTTATATAGTTGCTATGAATAACTAATGGCCGATACATATGACCTTAATGAATGAAATTATATATTGACTATTATATAAACGACCAATATAACTATGAATCGCAATGATGTAATTAACATAGGTTATATGACTACAACCTTAGTCAATGGACTTATATAGTTGCTATGAATAACTAATGGCCGATACATATGACCTTAATGAATGAAATTATATATTGGTTATTATATAAACGGTCAATTCAATACAATGATATAATTAACATAGGTTATACGACTATGACCTAAGTCAATGAACTTATATGGCTGCTATGAATAACTAGTGGCCGATACGTATGACCTTAATGAATGAAATTATATATTGGTTATTATATAAACGACCAATATAACTATGAATCGCAACGATGTAATTAACATAGGTTATATGACTACAACCTTAGTCAATGGAGTTATATAGTTGCTATGAATAACTAGTGGCCGATACGTATGACCTTAATGAATGAAATTATATATTGGCTATTATATAAACGGTCAATATAACTATGAATCGTAACGATGTACTTAACATAATTTGCAAGAAATATTGAATGAAAAAATTTCTTTTTTTATTCATGTCATAAATAATCATGGCAATAGTTTGCTTAATAACTTTAATTATTTGTTATGATAAGATAATATAGCCACAAAATTCGAAGAGACAATAAACTCCGTTAGCTGGTTATAACTTTTTGTCATGCATTTACCAGATCAATAGTATTATTTAACTACAATAAATAGTTAAATAAATATTATTCTTTGATTACCAAAGTCATTACAAGAGCTAATCCAAAAAGAAAATAGTGATATTTTAGGAATAATGAATTTTAAATATAAAAGTTAGATTTTTATAAAATATAAACTATTTAGTAATTGTATTTAATCAAAGAATTTTCTAATTCTCAAATAACAAATTTTAAAATATAAAAATTAATCTTAAGTTNGAGTAATTTCTTATATCTAAACTCTTATTTTATTAAATAAGTATTTGGAGTACCTTTTTTATATATAAACACTTAATTTAAGTACTCATATGGTGAAGACTTTATATATTTATTTATCCATTTATTTATGTATATGTGGTCCTGAATTATTTTGAATAAGTACTTAAAATAATTTCATATATCTAAACACTTATTTTAAATAAGTACTCATATATTAAAGAATTTTATGACAGTTTTAGTGCAAGAAAAACTGATTTTAGTGGTTGATGATGTTTCCTAACTAATTATCTATGAAATAATGTTATATTTATGATTTCATCACTAAATAAAAAGAAAATATATTAATTTAAATATGGATTTTTTTACAAAAAAAAGTGAAATTCATCGCTAATATAGTGGCGCTAACATTTAGCAATGAAATATCGAAGCTAACAATATCTTATTATTCATCTTAATTTTTAATAACTATCTTTTTATTATTATATCAAATATAAAAATATATTTTCTTTACACTAAGAATTAAGAAGTATTATAACTCTCTTTTCTAAAAAGAAGTATTATAACATTAAGAATTAAGAAGTATTATAACTCTCTTTTCTAAAAAGAAGTATTTTCTCTAAAAATATATGTATATAGATGAATATATTCGAAATATATACGTGTATACTACAAAAAAAGGATGAAAAAATACGTAAAAAGATAAAAAAAAAAGATTTATGGGAAAGAGGGTTTGCATGCTTGATATTTTCCATGTATTGGAAAGACAAACATTAAATGAGTGAGAGAGAATCATGAAGAGAAATTCAAAATTAGTGGTAAGGGCATTTTCGGTATAAAATTTATCCAAAAACCTTAATTTGGGTGTGATTTTACTTTAATAATCCAATTTGGATCATTGTGGCCAAAGGAATTTTCCTTTCTTTATTTATGGCTCTAACGAGACATATCCCCATGAGGACCTGAGTTGTCCTTCCACCAAATCAATGATTGATTTAATGAGTACTCAAATTGGCATCTATTCTTAATGTGTAAGAATCTTAGCCTCAACCTCTATGATCAGCTATCTAGACCAAGAAATCAATACTCTGGTGTGAATGCGCACAAATCTTAGCCTCAATTTTGATAAAAAGTTATGAAACTTAATCTCATATATGTCATGAGATTTACATTATGTTTGGTTTTCCTTTTTCTGGAGTGTATTTTGTAAAGACAGATCACATGACCCATCAAAATAATCAGTAGGGCAAGCTTAATCCCTTTGGTTTCATTTTATATGAGACTTTTCTTTTTAGTCTACTCAAAAGAATAAAGATCTTTATACACTTGAAAAGTGTAAACTTTAAACTTTAAACTTTCGATTTCTAACTTAATAAAATGCTTTATAGCCATATAAATGTATGCAATATTTGTAACATTAATAACATACTCAGTTTAGTCCCACAAGTGGGGTTTGGGGAGGATAAAGTATACACAAACTTTATTCCTACCTTTAAGAAGGCAGAGAGACTGTTTCCGGTAGACCCTTGTGTCAGGGAAGATAGATAGAAGGGGCAATAGCAAGCAAACCAAATTTGACAACCGAAGCGAAATACAAAACTAACACTAAGGAATACAAATAGAAAACCGAAATAAAGGCAGTAACAAGTAATAACAGAAGTCTAGGGATACAAAAATACACAAAAGACGCTAAGTGATGTATCAAAACTACTGCAACAAACACGAACAATGCTCGGCTACCTAACCCTTTACCTCTATTCTCAACCTTCACACCTTTCTATCCATGGTCATGTACTCAATAAATCGGAGCAACGCCATATCTCGACTAATCACCTCTTCCCAATACTTCTTAGGCCTACCTCTACCTCTTCCTCTCCGTCTGCTATATTTGCGATGATAAGTTTTAAGGGTACTTTTTTATATCTATCAAATTATGTCTTTTTTTATAAATTTCGTGCATAGTAAAATATAAGATAAAACGAGGAGTAACAAACTAGAAGCCAATATATACTTTCTGAAGATGGCAAATTCCTGGACTAAAAACCCCAGGCAATAAAGAAGAATAAGAAATGTGGAACGAGTAAGTTTGCTTTTGTAGAACTAACTGGCTGAAATTGATCATGTTAGCAGGGTCTTGATCCCAAATCCGTTGCCAATTTATTCTCCAATTCCATTTGTGTTGGAGAGAAGTCGGTGAATGCAGAAGACTGTTTTGTACTAAAGCTTGAAACAGAGCCCTCAACTCTGAAAGCAAGAAGCAGCAGCAACGTTGAAGTAATGAGGCACACTGTTTGGGGTTACTTCAGCCAACGAACAGGGCTCTTACTCCAGCTTGAAGACACTCATCTTCTAAGAATCAAAGCCCCAGGAAATGATGTCTTTTGGGAAACAACAATGGAGTCATTAATACTCGATTATCGAACACTCGACGGAGTTAATATTGCACATGGTGGAAGAACATCTGTTTCTTTATTTAGGTTTGGTGAGAACTCAGAAGGACACACTAGGACAAGAATGGAAGAGGTTTGGACCATTGAAGAAGTCGATTTTAACATAAAGGGACTCTCTGCGGATTGTTTCTTACCGCCTAGTGACTTGAAAAACGAAGATGAAGTGAGTAATGATGTGAACAAGAACTCAAGGTTGGGGTTCAAGGCTCGTACTAATAATGCTAAACTAAGAACTGCTAGGAAAGGTCCGTCTAAAATCATGTCTATTGACGAAGAAGATCTTGAAGATTACGAAGCAGATGAAGAGTCTTGAAGTTCAATTGCAAGCTTATTTAGTATTCTGTACTCATTTATGTACATGGAGCACCACAGGATATGTTATAGGATTTGACTTGTATTACTCTAACAGTATAAAGAAATTTCTAGTGACTCAACTGGAAGGTTGTTTTGAGTAAGGTCAACCAGTCAATGATAGCAGCAATCGAGCAGTAGAAAAACCCAAGTGAAATCCCAACTTATCATTATACCAAGCCACAAGTAATAAGAAATCCACATGTGCAATGAACAGCGACATATGGAACCAAACATATAGCTGAATCTCAAGAAACTTAAGTATAGGAAGAATCTGGTAAACAAGTATTTGAAAGATTACCGCAACATTGAAACTTACTTTCACCAATTCAGCCTTTCCTTTAAGTACTATTAAACGTTCCTTCAGCAATAAGTATTTGTGTATATATAATCATTTCAGATACCTCTATGGAAGAGATATGCCTTTTACTTGCAATACGCAAACCCCACCAACCATTCCTTTTCTGAGGGCAAAAAAGAGAAGGTATCAATTCACGTGTTTGGTCGTTTGAGAAAGAAAATACAATATTTTGGGAAAGCTTTCCGGTGATACCAGGAGCTGTAGCAAGCGAAAAATATGAAGAATTTCTAATAGCACAATACACTAACTCATTCCGATAACTAGTAAAATTGTAGAATATTGCATCTTCGTTACAACTACTGTATTTTTCTGAATAAGCAAGCCTTTCAACATTCAGTAGGTCAAGAATCCTCTTCGGGTTAGCTTTTTGATGCCCAACTGAGTAGGAGATGCAACAAACTTCCTGTGAAGTTCCATGGACCAAACAACATGAGCTTCCTTTTGAGTGTTCATGTATAGCAAAATACTAATTTCAAAGATTCTCTTAAATCTCAAAATATTAATTTCGTACCACCATGGGTCATGTTGAACAGAGCTGCACCAGAATCAAAAGGGAAGCTGATTCCATAAGATTCATTTAGTTGCCTAGAAGCAAGGATACAATCTGATTTTACAAAAGCCTTAGCCTCATCCTGGAGCTTCAAGGTGAGAGGAATATCATATATACAATAATATGCAACCTCCGTGTCATTGTATTTCCTAGTAAAGTAAATGAGAGCAAACTTATGGTTGTCCATTTCCTCAGCTTCATTCTGTTGGGGTGTTTTAATGAGCATCTTGTCCCCCACTAGTTGTCCATCCTCGAAATCATATCCATCACAAGGCTAAGAGTTCCAACATTAATAGCATAATTATCATAACGACCACCAATAATAATTTTTTTGAGAGCATTTTTGCCCACACAGTTTGTTATCACCCATTGGTATGCATCAACAGTACTGTGCAACTGAAGTTTTAAGTGTATAATGCAAGAATTGCACAAGGTTGACATTATAAACATATCAGGATCCAAGTCGCTCGAAGCATAATAGACTACACTATTTCTTGTAACTCTAAGGAATATAGTAAGCAAACTAGAGCCAGGATCAAACAAACCCCCAATCCGAATGATCAGGTGGAAATTGATGCAAGGATAAGATAAGTTTAGCATGATCTAGTCCACTTAAGTAATCAAATGTACCACTGCCGAGAAGTTGATAAGCAGAAAGCACACAAAGTAGAGCTAGTTGCTAGAGTTGACCAAGATTTGACTTTTGAGTAGACGATCTCAGATTTGTAATTTGATGGTTGTAGCAAGTCTTGCAATCGCGGAGAAGGATTGGCCAATTGGACTTTTGTTCTTCGCGTTCGTATGCATGGTGTCGCATTCACAGAGGGTTGTGGGCAGGAGCATCGTGTTCGCATGTAGGTGATCACATTCGCGATGCTGTGGAGTCAGGCAAAGGTTTGGCCTTCGCGTTCACGGAGCTAGACTCGCGTTTGCATAGGCTTGGCGGAGTTGAGCTTCGCGTTAGTGAGGTAGAATTCGCATTCACATAGGAGTATTTCTTGCGGTGGCTATTTTATACTTCGTGAATGCAAGGCGTGGGCCGTGTTTGCGAAGGGTATGCTTGGGCAGACTTATTAAGTAGTATTTTAAGATTTTAGCCTATTCTCTCATATTTTGAACCCAAGACTTGGAGATAGGCGATTTTTAAAGGAGCTTTGCATACAAGACTAAAGACTACGTAATTTCTACTCATTTGCGGTTATATTTCAAGAATCTACATGGATTAATAACACCTGAAATATGGTATTTTGAGGTAAAATTTGAGATTTTTGTCTACAACTTAAGAGAGTGTATTTTGGATATTTGAGGGTCGATTTGAACTCGGTTTTGGAATCTAATTATATATTTGGACTGGTGAGGTTATGGGTAGTTGAGATCTACCCATTGACTTGTGTTTTGTCCATGTGGGCCCGCGCTGACTTTTGTTGACTTTTAAAAAATTAATTATAGATTAAAGCTTTATTATTTAAAATTAATTCTTATGACTTTGTTTAACTTTATTGGGTTGTATTTGACTATATTCAAGTCGTTTGGAGGTTGATTTGACAGGGAAAGCTATTTTGGAAGGTTGAAGCTTACCAGGTAGAGATAAGTTTCTTGTAAGAGAGGATTCTCCCTATAGGTGATGTATTTGCAACATGTTGCTTGATTTTGGAGCTACGTATATGCAAGCTGACGAGCGTATATGCGTAGCTAGGTTATGACCATATCTGATAGAGTTTGGCTTATGTTTATGCCTTGTTTGGACGATGTGAACTTATTATCCATGCTTTATTGATTCGACGATTACGTAATAACTCGTAATTGAGGCTTAGGAGCATGCTTAGGGTTATGACATGTTGAATTTGGAATAAATAATTATTTTTCCATATTGAGCTTCTTTGTTAAGTCATAGTCATATACTTGTCTTATTGATTCATGATTTGGTGGTTACATGTGTCATGACCCAAATCGATGGGTCGTGATGGGCACCCGGTACCTTACTCAACCGAGTACCAACGTAACGTATTTTTCGCATCATACTATCATAGGTAAATAAGCCGGAGAGGCTGTCGTGAGATAAGTAGAATAAAACATGAGGAAATACTCAACATTGGAGGACTCAACATGTAATACAAACTTATACATATGACATAGGGCCTATAAGACCAAAATGATCACTCGTACACTGAATATAGGCCGATAAGGCCATACAATCTTTCACGTACATGACATATGTCTACAAGCCTCTAAGAGTAGATAAACACCATAAAGGTCGGGACAAGTCCCCACCATACTAAACAATACATGTCCATATCATACTGACCAAATAAGTAACTCCGGAGTAATGGAGCGCACCAACACCTTTCGCTGAGCTGATAGCCTACTTGGAGGACTCTCAACCTGTCTACCGGGACCTGCGGGCATAAAATGCAGCATCCCCGGGCAAAAAGGACGTCAGTACAAATAATGTACTGAGTATGTAAGGAATAAAAATCAGTAAATAAAAGACATAGAGAAACATAGAGTAAAAGACTCAACATGTAAGTATGAATAGCTATGTAAATCATTTAATATTTATAATGTCATGCATATGCTTATAAATATCATACCATGCATAGGTATATGCGTTCATAACATCATCAAGCCTCTGAGGGCATCCCATCATATCATCTCGGCCACTGTGGGCAAATCATCAACGTATACTAGCTGATCAGGTGGTGGTGCGTATATAACGCCGTAACCTTTTCCCATATCCCATATACATATAATATACGTGTATATAATTCCATCTGGTCATGAGTCAATGTACATCTATAAATGAATGAAGTGCATATGAAATACGTTAATAAGATTTCTCGGAATGTCATAAAATCAATATGCCTTTCGGATCAACTTTATCAACTACGTATTTTTCTGAGACCCATGAACAGAAGATATAATCATAATTCACATGGGAAATTAAGAATATAGACACCCCTAGTACTTCTATGAATAGAGTCATTTATGAAAGTTGTGCATTTGCTCGTTTCGTTTGTATCGCATGGATCATGCTAAAAAGAAAGAAGAGATAGCCTTAACATACCTGAGCCGAATCTCTTGAAAATCCCTCTAACATACGTCTTTTGTGATAAAACACGTAACGACGAATCGAAGTAGGAAAAAATCCGTATGATATTCTTGAGAAAGATTGTACCGTGCTCCCTTAGAATTTGCAATTCACGTTGCACCTTATAGGGATTCTTAAGAATTTCTTTGAGAATTCCATTCGTTACTAGCAGCCCATGTATTTCCCTCTTAAATGATGTATAACAATCCCTTTTCTTTGATTAAGAATTACTTTGAGAATTTCATTCGTTACTAGCAGCCCATGTATTTCCCTCTTAAATGATGTATCACAATCCCTTATCTTTGAGGTTTGTGGGCCCCCACTTTTGGGGATGACTAAGCCAACAAATTTTCTAAATATGCCACATAGTCTTCATGAACCAAAAGTCACATTTTATATTTTTGAGTCATTTTCATTTGCTGCCACATGGGGGTGATGTCCCCACCTAACTTATCCATTAATTTCCAATTACATTGTTAATCTCCCACTGACCAATATTTACCCAATTATCTATATAATTAAGAATTATCTCAAATTACTTATAATACTACTCACTTTTAACACACTTTATTCATATTGCTATCATGGTCATGTGGTACCTTGTATGGCACTAGTCTATAAATACGAGGTATTATAGCTTGGACCGTATTTTATCTCAAAATGACAACCTTTGACGGAACTCATTTTCTTTGATTCGCTTACCCTCTCACCTTCACGAATATACTTATCACTTGTTTAAAATAGCATAATACTTATAACCTCAAAATAATCTCATTCCCGAGCTAACGTCGATTAACTTACGATGAAACTTTAACGTACGAAAATGCGGGATATAACATCATTCCCCCCTTTGGAACATTCGTCCTCGAATGTTGACTGATGCACTTATCATTATCATACCCTATAACTCTTGCGAATACTTTAGTACTCTCCTTGCCATCTATGCAACTGTTCTGTGAATAAATCCAAAGGCCAGGGCATTCCCCCATCTAGGCCTCTTTCTCACACCACGACTTGTGGTCGGAATCCTTTCAATCTTGTAACTGATGCTACCTTTTATCATGCAGCCTGTACGACTCTAATCTTGTAAGTGAGCCTATGCAATTCTTCTCTCCTTTTTCTTCCAGTTTTTAGCCAATCTCTAGGCCTCAATTTGTAAACGTATACAGAGCTTGACAAGATGTCCCTCTGGGCATCTATAGGTATACTGAAGTTCTTCGCTCGGTACTTTGTCGAACTTACGAATATTTCTATATCTTATTTCATCGGCCCGGTTATCTATTCGC